TAAAGGCTTATAAGCACTTTAAAGCAAAAAGGTTATATTTGATTCAACTTTCTTAGAAGAGTAAAATTATTTGTCTTGTCTTCCAAATTGAAAAGCTTTGACGTCACATGTAAGGGGTCTATTGTGAAGGACACAGCTTAACGCGGCCTAGACATACAAAAAGACGCCACTAGATGCAGTCTTAGAACATTTTTTGACCCCTGATAACAAATTTTGTCGAAATAAGGTAGATTTTTGTAGAGGGAGGAAAGCCGGAGAACCTGGCCGAGAAAAAGACTCGAAGCAATGAAGAGAAAAACCTTATCGTTGTATCTGTACTATATCGAGCGTGAATAGTCCGCAATATGTGTTTAAAGATAGTGTTCTCTTTACTGGATGTTCAGTAATAACCATCTCTTCTTTGAATTGAAATTTTGAAAATATTATTTTCATATCGCCGTATTATTTTTTAGGAAGTCRTCCCTCATAATGACCGTACCCATGAAATAATTCATTATTAAGTAAGACTCTTTCTTTACTGTTTTCCTTTTAAAAGAKACTTGTCTACTGATATCGAGCGAAAACGAAAGTTCGCGGCAASAGTGAAAAAATCGATTTTCTTTATTTTTGGTTCAGAAATAGGTATTTGTGAGTAATTAAACATCGTTTGTTAAAGTAACTTCCAGTAGCCATATTACAAGTGCGAATTGACAAATTCCTTTTTTTAATGCTGCCATTCGAGAGTTTATCTTTGATTATGTATGCATCGCAGTACGAGTGCGTCAAGGGGCCAAAATCCTTTGTTACATTTACAATATAGTCTTTAGGCGAAATCAGTTTCAGGATGTTATTCGCAAATCGARGGTATGTGTATTATTGAAAAGTTACCTAGTTAGTGTAACTATATTCCGCAACTTCTCTTTACCCACCTTCAAAATAATTGGTGTATACGTACCGATTCCAAATTGTACATAACTACCAAGAAAACATGTAAAGCAAGGTAAAACATCATTCTGTTAKGTTTCTTTTGAAAATTAGTCAAACTGTAGGAGTGTTTTCACATTCAAAACTTATTTGGAAATGCGTCAAAAKAATTTATGCTAATTAGAAACTGGACAATTCTTACCGAAGTAAACAAAAGAAAACATGGATTCCTAGCTTTATTTTTTTGAAGCTAAAGTTGAAGTTGTATGGAATTAAAATCTGTCAATTGGAACAAAATTATACGCGATTTTTGTCCAAATTCCAAAGCCTCCAAACACACTGTTTACAAGCCCCAGGGAATGTTCACYAAAGACTGGCATTATTCACTCGCTTGTTTGGAGCGCTGTGAAAATTTCMCCAAGCTAATTTTGACAAATCTTTTAAGATTTATATTAACTTGTTTAGAATCTGGAATTTTAAAATATTCAGAGTCATGCCACATATAGTCTTGAATGAGCTGCATATAAGATGTTTTTTCTTTTCATTAAGGTGCTGATAACTGGACATAACGGAGTGTAACATGTGTTCCATAATGAATATCATTTTGGCGATCATGGTAGCCATGCCTGTTCAGTGCTTGGCTTGGAATGACAGTCTGAGCAGCTGCACAGATACAAGTAACAGCCTTGCCGGTAGGTTCTTTTCAATTTTTTGGCGATTTATTAAGATAAAGCAAGCACTTTTCCCRGGTTGGGTACATCTGTGTATGGAATCGTGGGTTGCATCAACATTCATGACGGTCATGAAATATCTGAGTTTAACGTGCTATAAAATATCTGTTGAAATTAATAGACCTTTTCGGCACTTAAAAATCTTGCCATRCACAAAAATGTCGAAAAATGAGTCACTACAATTTGTGGGCTATTAATTGAAGAACTATAGAGCATATATAGAGAGAGAATATCCTGGTCCAATATATTGCTTACAAAAATCGCTTAAATAAAGCGAAAGTATAGAAAAAAATTCTTTATAGAACTGAATGCTACTAATCACCTTTATTATTCATTAGGAACTGCTTATGCAACTGCTGTTCATTATTGGCCCCTAAAATCATCATCTTCACTAATAGATGTCATCAAATGCCAAGCGGCATTTGACGTTTATGGGGTTATAAGTACGCTGTCGTCACCAGATGGTCTTTATGGAATATCTACTGGCGGTAGCAGTGGCATCAAGTTGGCTAGTTTGAGCGACCCATGTCTTAAAAATGTATCGCTATGTCAGAATGGTAAGTGATCGTATTAATTAATCAAACTATTATTAGACAACTTTTAGACTGTGCTCCTTTAACCGTCTACAGAGCTCATTTACTCAGGGTTAGCCTCGTTTTAGCTTCAAAATATTCTCATCAACGGTAAAAGGGAAGATGGTATAATTTCAAGAATATACTAAAGATTTTGAAATTCCACAGACCTTCACTAGAACATGTTAATATTCTGCACAAAATCGAGGCTAACTCTGAGCAACGGATCGGATTGCCTTGCCTTGTTTTGTGCTAGAGATATTATATATTTTGTTCAAATATTGTATAATTATAGGGTTGTCGATATCCCTGTGGATTAAGCTTTCTGGACAATCCTTCTCACCTTCAAACACTTTCGATGTCATCCTTACAAGTGAGAACACTGCAGGTWACAACATGGGAATACTAATCTACGACCATTATGATAAGGGCTTACAAGTATCTATAAGGACGAAGAACTCAACCTTGACTAAACCGATCACCGTCCAGAGAAATGTCTGGTATCACGTTACTATCATGTGGACACACTATGAAGGCATTGTTCATTACATCAACGGTAACATGGTAAGTTTTTTAGACGTTTACATGATTCGCCAATTTAACAAGCAAAGTTGAATTAAAAGAAACAATTACATAGCACAAGTGCAAGTGATAGGGAAAACCCACAAAGAGTTTGTCAAATAACAGGATCAAGTTAGAATTCTTTACTTTTTTTTTCTGCGTCCACGAGGAGATTAAAATGGATGGGATCTGAAGAAATTGCCAATGTTAATCTTTGTGTAAATAGACAAAAAAATATTAGGGGGAAAAACAATCCAAGAAAAATTAATACTGTGTAATTTTTTTAATGTTACAGTAAGTTTTTTTTGCTGGTCGAGGGCTCTCCTTCACTCCTCGCAGTATTAAAGTGTTTTGGTGTTATGAAATCTGGGTTCGATATTCCTCACTGTCATTACTTGCCACCGGTCATTATTTTTACCACCTATGCACTTTTCATAGTATAAAGTGCCAAATAAAAAATATTGTAAAAATGTAAAATATTGTAGCTGAGCCCCCYGAATCCTCCGACGCAATCCCCCCTCCCCCCTCCCCCCAGGTGATAAATGTTAACCGACCCCTAAGGGTTGTTACACTTTCTTTACCTTAAATCAAAGTTTCCAAGCAATGGGACCACCGTTCAAAATTCATCGGAGAGCTCTGCAGACCAGACGGCGGATCTATATTTGTCGTRCTCCACTAAGGCAGGGAAAGCTGTAGCCAGCTACAGAGACCTTGCCATCTGGAAYTACAGACTGTCTGAGGAACAAGTACAAGCTATTTATCAACATACGCCAGGTAAATAGTGATTTCAACTAGTGATTATTTTTGAATAGATTTTTATCAGAACTCTAGAGAAAGGAAAGAAAAAGGCTGGGAATTGTAATTTGTAACCTCTGCCAAGAGAATTCAAAATAACATGTTGGTCATGTTGGGTATGAGTGTAAGCAATAAAGGGCCTAATGACCATATGTTTTGTGACAGTGGCCCTTGGGTAAGACTGTAAGCAATAAGGGGCCTAATGAGCCATATGTTTTATGACAGTGGCCCTTGGGTAAGACTGTAAACAATAAAGGGCCTAATGACCATATGTTTTGTGACAGTAGCCCTTGGGTAAGACTGTAAACAATAAGGGACCTAATGAGCCATATGTTTTGTGACAGTGGCCCTTGGGTAAGACTGTAAACAAAACATTTTTTTATAATAAAGCAACTTACGATTTTTAGCAATCAATGCAGATTTAAGGCCGAACTGAACCTACATTCTTTCTGGTCAGCGTCCACACGAGGAGTATTGACTTTTGTTATTACTGATGTTATCATTGTTATAGGGTGTCAAGAGATTCCTCACAAGGAATGGAAGATGACTGCTTCATCATTCTCAGACCATTACATTCCTGATAATGGCTACTTCTATTCTCATTCTGCATGGTGTGCCGATCCCAAGGTTACCAACGGTTATTTGCAGATCGAACTTCCAGATCTTTACAAAGGTAGATAACTACGCCTGAGGAATGCATCATTGTAAAGTGATGTTAACAATTTGTTGGGGGCGGGGGGCTTGGGTGGAGCATTGCGCGGATGGAGGAGCCCAGCGCCATGAATAGTGATCTGAAATATTAATTATTTATTAGCTTTAAAAAATATTATAGATTAACAATCGATTTGAAACATGGAAAAATTTCATAAAATGGTATTGGGTATGATGAAGTCATATTGACTTTCTTTCTTTCTTTCTTTCTTTCTTTCTTGCTCCTTCAATCCTTTCTTTTTTCTTAAAGGAACGAGGGGAGACTAAAGGAAAAGGGTGTGAATATACTGTTTAATTTGTTTCGATTGTTTCTGATTTTGTTTTACTAGTCCACTCGCTCGTGTTGCAAGGGAAAGAGAACGGGACAAAGGAACATGTCAAGACCTTTCAAGTCAAGTTTTCCATAAATGCAATCAACTGGGAAACGTCTCAGGTAACATGATTAAAAAAATAAAAAAATTTGAAAAAAACGTTTGCACGTCTAGCGCTACACCACCTGACATTCAAATATTAATCTTGGACCAACACATAACTCAAAATTCAAAGAGCATAATATAAAGCCTCCAGTAAAAGTGGAGACCTTGATCAAGTAAAAACAAGCCAAATRTTTTGAAGTCATACTGACTCCATTTTCAAGGCTATGAGATTAAATTATGGTGCTAGATTTACTGAGGCAATTAAGTATACTTGCCTATGCATTTCGAAATCGCTATTGATTAAAAGTGTAGAGATCAAAGAAAACATTTAAAAAAACACTGATGGCGCGCCATACATTTCAAGCAACACCTCTGAAGGAACAGCGACTGGTCACGTGCTTACCGTCATGTTTGCATAGAAAAACAGTGAACATTAATTTCACATGTTGTGCACGTCTAATCAAGCACAAAGTTATTTTAGGAGTTGTAACAAAAAATATTTTCATTTATCCTATCGTAGACACTCAATGGACCAAGTACCGCTGACCAACAGAAGCTGATTGTCTTTGAAAATCCACCAATATTTGCTCGTTATTTTCGCATATACCCATTGACGTCATCTGGAAGGAGTTGYTTGAGAGCGAGGCTATGTGGGGAAAAACGAGGTATAGAATGTTCACGGGCGAACCACAGGAACCCCAATATATAAAGGTGCTATTGGGATAGGTCGAAAGTGCGCAGAATCATAATAACTATTATTATATAATTATAATACAAATAATAATTATAATAATTTCTATTCTTCTTGTTACCGCTGGTTTAAAAACATACGAGCAATGTACATCCTATAAYGTTGGTAATCTAATTTTCTTTTGCGTGTGTGATTTTAGCTTATTTGAACATAACAGCATCAGTTGAACACAGTAAGGTCAATGGTCAGCGATCTTGTAAATGCAGTATCAAGGTTRGGATTACTTGTTTTAATCCAGTTGATTTTTTCAGATTTTGGGCAGTTTTGCTTTTACGTTATTTTGTTGTTGTTGTTGGGTTGTTTGTCTTTGTCACCACTTTTTTTTTTCTTTTCTTTTCGCATTTCTTTTTGTTTGTTTTTTAAGTTATTGTTTTTCTGTTTTTTTGTTTAATTTCCTTTCCTTTGCTTTCCTGTTYATTTCTTCTTTTTGTCTCGTTTTTGTCTCATTGACCTTTTCACCTTTTCATCTTTCATTTCATCAGGTCAATAATCAAGAGCATTGCCCCGATAAACCAGGTCATAACATCGTGGCTATTAGTCACAAAACTGGTGAGCTAGTGGAAGCAAACAGCTTCGATACTAGCGACAATGCCAACATCAATGCAGGTATCCTATTGACTCAGTTCATCAACAGTCTTCCTGATGGCGCTCTCGTGATAGTAGCCGTAAAAGACTCTGGTCACAGGTAAAATAATTTATCTGCATTAATGAAAAGTATACATTACAAATAGAGGATAGCGTAGCAGTAGGTCAGCAAGCTCTCGCGCCAGGTGCCTCGATTTCGGATCCTGGGGCCTTAGGAAGGGACTACCCGCCGAGCCTAATCTCATTTCTTACTCTTCTCCTGTCTGACGATCTTTGCGGTCTTCGAAAAAACCAGGGTGGATTAAGACAATAGGACGTTTGCATGATGGCGTCATTTGACTCCCACTATCAAAATGCTTTGCGAATTTTCTTTATTATTTAAATTTGTATTCCCTCATGAGAATAGTGAGACAATTGGTGCTAATTAACTGAACAAAAGAAAGTGTGCGAGGGAGTCTGGAAGTAGAAGGAACATTTTGAACCCTGAGTCTTCGTGTTCTCAAAGAATGATGGATTTAAATATACGAATAATGAAACCATTAATGAAATCTAGGGGGGGAGGGGGGTTAAGCTTGAGCCGTTTTGACTGTAATACGAGTCTTTGGCTAAATGTAAATCAATAATGATAAAGAGATAAATTATACACCGTGGAAAGATGAAAAAACTTACTGACGTTTCGGACGCTAGTCCTTCGTCGGAGTAAAAGRGTAAAATGTAAATCAGTTGGATTTAAATAAAGAAAGCTATTTACACACAATTGAAATTTCGTAAACGAAAGAACGTGTACTAGAAACATACAGTCCTAATGTTTTCAAACAATTCAGACAATGAAATGTCATCTTTACGAGTACAACATTTCTTTGCTTCAAATTTGCACATAAGAAGTTACACGACTGGATATAAAAAATAATCTTATTATTATCTCATTATATCTAATAGGATATCTAAAAACGATAGCACAGCATTGTACAATATCGGTTCCAAATCAACTAACCCACCCCCTGTCAAAACCGCTTGGATTCTACTTGGCTCTAAAGGAGTTTTACACAAGTTTATTGAAGAAAAAACGGCTTCTAGTGAACACGGCTTACTGGAACTACAGAAGCTAATACCAGTAGAATATGGTAAGACCTATTCTCATGATATTWTTATTTTTATTGACTTAAACAATGGTCACACCAAAAAGATGTAAGATAAAGAACCCATGTCCAGTCCGATACAATAAACTTGAAATCATTACTGTATTCGTGGGTGCATGTTTGGTTGGCTTACTGARTTGGTTCCCTCAAGGGCACTAGGACAGACGAATTGGGTTATATATCAGTGTGTTTGTTTCACTTATTCATTGATACTAAATGGTGTTCACTAATATTTGTTTCTCAAATAGATACTAAATAGGGCTCACTTATCTTAAAAGTAAAAGTCCTTTCCAACCAACGGTCTTTCTGGTTTGAATCAGCTGTACGCTCCGAGTATTAACCGCTGTACTATTGGTGTCAAGCAGTGCCGGCGTCGCTTCGTTAGCGATTTACTTTCTTTAATAAGTTAATCAAATTTACGTTCAGTACAGTAAAATATTCTGTTGAAATTCAGCTGCTATCGATGGAAGCTGACGGTCCCCATTTTATCCCTCTCTCTACGGCTTCAAGGCTTCGTTTGTTTTCTAATCACTATGACCGTTTTGTATTCTATTCAATTCCTTCAATAAGCAACATTTGTGTTTCTATTCTTTTAATAGGGTTAAAAACGAGTCACTTCTGGCCTCTCAGTAAGACTGATTACAGGACCGCCCATGGTAATCCAAAACGACCATGGTATTATAAGTACTTTCGTGATATTGTAGGAGGCCTTGACTTGTACCATAATGCTGGTAATGTATCTCCTATGATGCGTACCGTACGAGTATCAGACGGCAGTTATGTCTATTCGAAAACAATGGACGTTTGCTTGTTTCGGCCAACTAAGTAAGTATTGATAGAATGGAAAATRTTATTCATCGTGTACTGCAAACTGTGTTACTCTTCGCTGTGAGTATCGGGAAATACTTACCTCGCCGCTCGATCGCAGACTCGTGGAATTGGTAAAATCCGCGATATTCGCTAGTGWGGACTAGCAGTTGCAGTCGRAATGCCGCGGTTTTCAACAAATAACCCTCAATTGAGACAAATTAATAAGTATCATTTGATTGAGTATTCATCTATTTAATAATTAGACTACGGGTCTATTTGACTCATAGAGAACGAGAACGAGTAGTCTAATTGTTTTAGCATAAACTTACTAGTATAGTATAGCATAGCATAGCATAGCATAGCATAGCATAG